GTTAAAAGTCATTTTCTCAAAATGTTTAAGACCATGTAATTAGTTGGTGTTTTTAGCCCACCATCATCATATATGGTAAGCTGTTCAAATCGCCCTTCCTTCATATGTAGTCCATCTTTCTTCCTTAAGATAATTCTTGATGTTGCTATTTCTCAAAAATTACTGGTTGGATATCAATGTTTCTCAAATTTTCTAATGTAGGTTTCCCTTTGTTCATTATTTTGCATGCATGCTTTAACTCATTCACCCCTGAAGACACATTTGAACCCTTCCAATTCAAAGGTTGGAATAGTGCATTATGAAATTTCAGGGGTGAATGAGTTAAGAACTGTGAAACTTTGTGAGCATTTAGGCATCTTTTGTATTATGAAGTATTGCTGAAATCAGCTGAAGCAGATTTTAAGTCAGAATTTTATTCAATATGAATATTCCGTACACTCTCACAATTATACCCAAGACCAGCTAAGGGTCTGACTAACATTAATGGACACATGATAAAAATTAACGTAAGTGCAATGGTCAACTAGTTTCAAGTTATCTACCTGGGGGAAGGTACTTTGCCAATACGTCTAGTTGTTGGTCAATATCTGTTACTGACTGACCTACTGCACTAAATCTGACCAGCCGGTTTGAAACATGAAAGGGAAAATTACTGTATGGGCTGAACCCCTGAACAACACATACAAAAATCAACCTTTATGGGTTTTATATATTCCAGTCTGGCCTCAATAAGCATGCAAAGTCAAACTGGACAATCGCCAAACCACACTTGCATAAATTAATAACTTAATACTGTCAGGTTTCAAATGATATCAGATTTGTTGAATCAATGTTTTAGGGTGGTGCAGCTGATAGTGCACTTGACTTTCAAAAGGGTGGCAGGGGTTTCATTTGGCCATAAGACGTGATAAGGCATTGGATCACCTGCCAACCACATAAATGTTTCTCTGGGTACTTTCCTCCAACATAAGACCCCATGCGTGCTACAATTAGGGATAACAAAATTCATTAATATCAGTAATGATATAATTGTTTATTAATTGTTAAAAAATAGTTAATATATAGATGTGACTAGCCCCTGTTAAAGTACACGTATTATAAACATTTCTGTAATCAGTGTTGACTTATCTGTGTGTAAATAGTTCATATATAGATGTGACTAACCCCTGTTAAAGTACATGTAGTATAAACATTTCTGTAATCAGTGTTGACTTATCTGTGAGTAAATAAATCATGTCAAAGTTGAAAGATTAAACTCCATATACTGGACAGTATGGCAGATCAACGATAGTGATTTAAACACATTGTATACAACTTAAGTTGCTTACAGATCCCCATACCACTGTCGCAACTTACAGATCCCCGTACCACTGTCGCAACTTACAGATACCCGTACCACTGTCCCAACTTACAGATACCCGTACCACTGTCGCGCACTTACAGATACCCGTACCACTGTCGCAACATACAGATACCCGTACCACTGTCACAACTTACAGATCCCCGTACCACTGTCGCGCACTTACAGATACCCGTACCACTGTCGCAACTTACAGATCCCCGTACCACTGTCACAACTTACAGATCCCCGTACCACTGTCCCAACTTACCGATCCCCGTACCACTGTCACAACTTACAGATCCCTGTACCACTGTCACAACTTCCAGATCCCCGTACCACTGACGCAACTTACAGATCCTTGTACCACTGTCGCAACTTCCAGATCCCCGTACCACTGTCACAACTTAAAGATCCCGGTACCACTGTCACAACTTACTACAAGATCCCTGTACCACTTTCGCAACTTACAGATCCCCGTACCACTGTCACAACTTCAAGATCCCTGTACCACTGACACAACTTACAGATCCCTGTACCACTGTCACAACTTCCAGATCCCCGTACCACTGTCACAACTTACAGATCCCCGTACCACTGTCACAACTTACAGATCCCCGTACCACTGACGCAACTTACAGATCCCCGTACCACTGTCACAACTTACAGACCCCCGTACCACTGTCACAACCTACAGATCCCCGTACCACTGTCGCAACTTACAGATCCCCGTACCACTGTCGCAACTTACAGATCCCCGTACCACTGACGCAACTTACAGGTCCCCGTACCACTGTCGCAACTTACAGATCCCCGTACCACTGTCGAAACCTACAGATCCCCGTACCACTGTCACAACTTACAGATCCCCAAACCACTGTCGCAACTTACAGATACCCGTACCACTGTCGCAACTTACAGATACCCGTACCACTGTC